TTTTTTTTTTTTTTTTTTTTGGTCCTACTCCTTGTGTATACTTTACATGTAAGGGAATTTAAAATGCAAAATTTGTTTCTTAGTTTGTGTGTATCTACAAGGGTTCAAACCTTGGTGGTTGTTAAAAAAAAAAAATCAGTTTACCTTATTTCTAAAAGAAATGATGACTCTAAATTACTATAGTTTGCACTTATAATTGGGAGGGAGATCCATTGGCCTGGATTTCTAGAAGACTGGCTGTGATATCATTTCCTTTGCAGTGTTTGAGAATAGGAATGTTTTTAGTTCAACTTCAGCCTCTTATGCTGAGTCTTATGTGAAGTTCAAAAATGTTTCTTGAATGATATGCATACAACGCTATGAACTAAAATTTTAACTTCCTTCTGTTCCCATGAAGAGTATGTTAACAACTATTAGTAGCATGGGCATCCCTCGAGTTTGTTAAAAATCTCATACAATTTTCAGGCGGAGTCAGATTTAACCAGACAGTCAACATTCAAGCAATCCAAGAGTGAGGTTAAGCAAATGCTTTTCCCTTACCTCCTGTCCTTTTTCCATATTCTCATTGCTGGTTCATTAAATTCAGAATGCTGCCAATTGTTCATAGGTAAGTGAATGGCAGGAGGCATGGAATGAAGATGGAGAGAAATCAAAGGATCAACCACCCGACCTACATGGTATTTTATCTTGAAAATATAATTTTTTTTAATCTATCTCAAACTATTTCTTAAAAAAAAGGTTTTAAAATATGTTTGGATTTGCTTTAAGTAACCATGTTGAAATTCCTTTGTACCTAGCATAGTAATTTCGCCTTGACGCTATCTTTTCTAGTAGAGCGTATATCTGTTCTTAAAATCACCTATGAAGCTATCCTTCCTGGTTTGAGAAATAGTATCTATTCAATGGTCCAGACAAGAAGGCTTCCTATTTTTCCTAGTACTCAAATAGAGCCTAATGTCATATTCTTTGGATGATTGCTAACAGGTGAATTCTGGATGAAGCTAAAGTTAGCTGCTGAGCAGAAGGTATGAGATTCTATTTCTTTTTGATGTATGATTATCATTTGGGACCTAAATGTTGGGGCGGCGACCAAGGATTTTAGTCCAAATTAGGGGATAAACCTCCTAGAGCTACTCGGCTATCCTTTTCTGTTACAAGTCGTCATGATTAAGTTTATTATTCATTAGTTACTGTGTATATCATATCATAAAATGGCAGTTGAACAAAATTATCCGCCTACATATATTATTGTCGTGCCTTTTCAACACTCGAATTCGTCTAATGCTTCGAGGTGCTGAAAAACTCGTGTGTGTATATCCAATTTCTGATTTTGTTAAATCGTTGAATGCAAATGAACATATCTTAAAATCAAATGCAAATACCTGGATTTCTCAAACCATCCTTATGAAGCATTTCATTATTTATTTAGTGTGAATGTAAGAAGAACAATGTTTAATTTGTGTCAAACAACTTCTTTGCTCGTTCATTCCATGCAGGTCGGCAAGGTTGAAGCAGAGAGGTTCTGCAACTCATTTCAACAGATACACAATAAACTTGTATGTCATTCTGAAGATGTCATGAAGTTACATTTTTGTTTCTTTTTTTCCCTTCCCAATGAAATTAGAACGAAAACCATATAATCAAATTGACTACAGGTTAATGAAGAACTGAGTTTGGATGCTGCTCGAAGCTTTCTGGAGTCATTCAGTTCCCCAGAATAGTACAATTTTCTGCTGCATGCGTCTCCCATTTCATATATCATTTTGCCTCCATAAACCACGTTTTGCAAGAGTCTGATGTGAATTCAATTACCAACAAGGATTTGGAAGAACAGATAAGTTTTGTTTTCAAGGGATTTGCAGTCACTGTCGTTCACAGACATTGGATTTTCCACTTTATATAAATATTTCTAATAGATTTGCTTTTCCACATTTCTTGATATTCACTCAAACACACTTGAAAGAACACTGTTATAAGTTCAATGATTGCATTCATGATGGTCAAGTCTGTCTATGAAATCCAGTTTAAATAACTGCAGTATTGTGAAACCATAATCAACTGTTGAGAAATTGAGTCTCAGGAATAAACTAAATCCTCCTCAAATTATGTAGGGGATTCAGATCCATAAACTTTCTGCTTAAATGGCAGATTAGAGTAATATTTGAGATCTGGTATATGGCTGCATAATACAGCCACAACACATACTATAAGAAAGTTTCTGGAAGTGAAACTTTTCTTTACTTGTTCAATCTTGTTCAATCTTGGAAGCATCGGCTGCGACACGACCCAAGGCAATGGCGGTCTTCGAACCCGATGGCCGCCCCAAATGGTTATTGATGAAATTCCCTGCAGATATGACCTTTGCCAAATCTACATTGGTTTTTATACCAAGACCATGGAGCATGTACAACACATCCTCAGTTGCAACATTCCCTGATGCTCCTTTTGCATAAGGGCATCCACCCAAGCCTGCAACAGAGGAATCTATTGTGCTAATCCCCATCTGTTCAAAACGTTCAAGACATTCAAAACATCAGTTCATGGTTGAAGTTGTTGGCTCAAATGAATCATAGGCTAAGCTATTGCAAGCTTGTGAAGCAATTAGCAAGAGGCCTTACTTGGAGGGATACTAAAATATTTGGAAGTGATTGGCCGTAAGTGTCATGGAAGTGGACTGCAAGCTTGTCGACAGGAACCACAGCCATTACAGCTTCAAGCATCTGAACAACAGTCCCTGTAACACCAGAAGATAAAGGATGTTTGAATCACTCGTTTTCAATTTCTGTTTTGAATTAATTTCAAAATTGTTACCAGGCGTGGCAACTCCAATGGTGTCCCCAAGAGAAATCTCGAAGCAACCCATATCATAAAGCTGTTTTGCTACATAGGCCACTTTATATGGTGGAATTGCTCCTTCCGTTGGACACCCAACAACGCATGATACATACCTATTCAAATCCATAACCCAATTATTTATATCAATTAGAGGACCCTCCAAGAACATAATGTGGACTGTGGATAACAATACAATACCAGCAAATAATTCATATTCAAAATTTCAATTTCCTTTATTTATTGTAACAAGTCCAAGCCCATTATTAGCCGATATTATCCTCTTCGGACTTTCTTTTTCGAATTTCTCCTCAAGGTTTTTTAAAACGTGTTTTTTAGGGAGAGATTTCTACGCCCTTATAAGAAATGCGTCGTTCCTTCTCCAACTGATGTGGGATCTCACACAATTCTACAAACTGTCACTCATGGTTGGAGTTAAGCGTTGTTGACATAATAATGCATTCAGCTACACTATTCAACTTGTTTTAAATAAACAATAAGATGAATACTGGCTGATTTTCTTTCCTATAATCAAAGAGAAGGATTCGTCCTTAAGGTCATAATGATAAAGAAAATGAACTTTACTGATTCGAGACAGTTTCAGGCATGAAGTTCTTTTCCTTTTGTCTTGAACCCTTATTTCTTTTTTCAAAATCATTATTACTATTATAGAATAGTTTTTACGAAGAGGTAAACCCAAGGATAAAGAAGACAGAAAATGTCAAGTTCGATATTGATGGAAGCATACCCTCGAACAGGGATTCCAAGCTCTTTTGCAGCAGAAGTTACAGCACGATATCGATCAAGACTTTCTTCAATGCTACAATTGATGTTGGATTTTGAAAATGATTCAGAGGCTGATGCAAAGACTGCCACTTCCTTTGCTCCAGCCGCAACAGCAGCACGAAACCCCTGGAAGAAGGTGAAGTTTTAGAACAGAGGATTCAATCTGTCAATGTTCTTAAAAAGACTCTAACATTGTTTTAGAAGATGAGCTACTTTCATATTAGGTGTTAACACTGGCAATCTGACACCTTCCAAATTACGAACGCCTTCCATCACTTCGGTTGCATCAGATAACTGGACAAAGAATACATTAGTTCATCTCAAAAGTAATCAGGGTGTAAACAGTAAAGCCAAAACCACTAAAGTAGAAAGGGTACAATTTGGTGTTCTGAACTTCTTTGCTGTCTTACTGAATATTCAGCTCAAAAGAGATAAAAAGTTTTCAATTTTCTATATCATTTAGAAATATGGTTAAAAAAGGTCAAAGGGAGCTTGTACAAAAATCACCTGAGGCACCCGTGTAGGTGATACAAAACTGGTAGCCTCAACAACAGGCAATCCTGAAGATACTAGTCTATGGATCAACTCGACCTTTACAGATGTTGGTACCATATCCTTCTCATTCTGAAGTCCATCTCTTGGACCCACTTCAACTATCTTCACAAACTTTGGTATACCATTCCAAAACTGCACGCCCACATTCAAAACAAGATCAGATCAGAACAGGCCACACGCTAAGAGCTGATAGGTACTAGGTAGAGCAAGAAACACAATTAAAAAGGGATAGGAGGAGTGTATGGATGCAGACAGGTAAAACAAAGAAATTGGAAGGAAACGCCTCTCAATTAGTTGTAGAATATTTCAAGATTCTCAAAGGAATGGATTCCAGATACACAGGTCTAATGGTTACTAAATCACCTTATTTGCCATATTCTGTATATGGTGGCTACTACTCTCAGTCTGGTATTCAGGACTTGATGAACAGTGGGAATCACAAAAATCTCCAGTTACAAACTTTTTCGAGCCTATGCTCATTGTCCTCTTATTGACAGAGCCTTTTTGGGATGCATCTTTCCTATGTCTTCTCCATGGAAACGTCTCTCTAGCATCCTCATCATATTCCCTGTTGAAAGAGATTTAAAATAATGATCATAATAATGAAGAAGAAGAAGCATAAAAATGACAATCTAGTAGGAAATAAGTAAAAATGACAATCAATATCCAGCCCAGATCAACAAGAATTGCACAAGCAAATATGCAAAAGCAAACTGAAAAATCAAGAATGATTATTTTCTTAAGAAAAGAGATTAATATTCTGATTACCTGCAACTATTGGATAAGCTGCTTCTCCCTCCTTCAATCCAGCAGATCCCCATTCCTATGTCGTCTCCTATTGGTCGGCAAGCACCAGAGGAAAATCTCTGTATCCGATCAATTGTACTCATGCTTGGCAATTTGTCAAGACCAAGTGGCTCCTCCACACTCGACATTGTGAAGGCAGAAGCAAGAACCAGAACTGAGTTTGAGAAATAAACCAAGTAAGTTTTCTGCCAAATCAAGATCAATAACAGATGAAACTTTAATAATAGACTAGTCAAATTTGATTTTACAATTGCTTCTGTCAAATGATGTGATATCATTTGATTGAAGAACACAAGGAATTATTAAAATTATTCTTTTAATCTCTTATATATAAGTAAGAAAAGTAATATATAATGACATTACATAGTAATCAGACTTCATCGCGATTCATGAATTAGAATGCCAATTAGGATAGAAAATCCCAATTCCAATTGAAAATTTTACTTGAAATATCTAAACTGAAAAGTATAATCTCCTCCCCAACCGAAATATATTATATGAAATATCTCCTCTCCAACCGAAATATATTATATGAAATATCTCCTCCCAACCGATATGAAATCTCACAATCTACCCTATTTCGGGGCCCAACGTCCTTGCTGACACACCACCTCGTGCCCACCCCCTTCGGAGCTCAGCCTCCTCGCTAGCACATCGCTAGGTGTCTGGCTCTGATACCATTTGTGACAATCCAAGCTCACCATCAGCATATATTGTCCTCATTGGGCTTTCCCTTTTGAGCTTCCCCTCAAGGTTTTTAAAACGTGTCGGCTAGGGAGAGGTTTCCACACCCTTATAAAGAATGCTTTGTTCTCCTCCCCAACTGATATGGGAACTCACAAAATACCTCTCCACCACATCAATTAGTATGGATGATATAAAGCAACAGGTTCTAAAATGAGCTTTATTTTTCTAATCTAAGTCTATGAATTCTTCATGCATAGTTCCTCCACCAATCTTAGATTCTTAAAGGACATTCCTCCCAAATTCTCAGCCTTGTACTGAGATATTCACCAAGATATATCAAGGTTGAACAAACGTCTTTCATTCACAGAAATATCAATAAACTCTAGCAACTATTCCCTAGGTATTTCCACACCAAGCTCACTCAAGAATTAGACAGCAATGGCCTACTGACATGCTTTTTCTGATCTTGTATGCCATTGATAATGAACTATTCTTCTTCTCATCAAAACATCACCAAGAACTACTCTACATTTTTATATATACAAAATCCACCAGCCAATTTTTTTTCAAGTGGCATTATATGCTTCTTGAAATGCACCCTTACAAGGACATCTCACAATTTTCGCTCAGGTATGGGCAACTCAGTCATATGCACTCGACTGGTATGCAGCCATGGAACTATAAAATCTGAGACTCAAGTTCCGGTGTGAGAGTTTCCATTGACTTCCCACGGATTATCAGCCCAACAAATAGACTGTAAATGAAATTCTCCATCATAAACGACAACGCTGCTGTAATCTAAGTTTCATTGGCCTCCTAAAATTCAAATTCTAACACTGTAAAATTCAGTATAGCATCATAACCCAGAAAGGAGACGGAATATGATAATAAACCGAGCGCTCGAAGTAAGTAATACGAAAACAAAGTTCATCAAACTTCCATTAACAAGTACAGTACTCAACCCAACCAAAAAACACCGAAACAAGCGCATAACAAGAAAAACAAACAGAATCAACCGAAATTCTCGATTAGAGAACACTAGCAGGCGATCATAACTCAATTTTATAAATAAATCAAAAAATCACCTGACTCCTGCACGCAAACCAATTAGCGACCAGATTACAATTTACGAACACTAAAGAAAAATCAGCGAAATTATCACAATAACAATGGCTTCTAGAATATGCCGTTTCCCTTTACCTACAGTTTCTAGACGGCCAAACGCAACGAACAGAAATCGTAGAAGAAAAAAAATACGAAAAAGGGTCAAAAAGGAAGAGAGGAAAAGAATCGAACCTGGAGTGGAAATTGAGGAAAGAACAATTTGGCGCGTTGGAGAGACGAACACAGTAACCGATGAGAACAAATATATATATGGGAATTGAAGAGCAGCTAAATGCGCCGTAGTTGGAGTTCCTCTCAAATAAGCAAACAAAAAAAAAAAAAAAAAAAAAAAAAA